CCAGAAAAAGCATTCCAGAAATCACAAAGAACATCTAGTATCATCAGAAGCACTTCCTACCAAATAGAATCCAAATTGTCTGATAAACAGGAATGATGAACTAAAACAGAATTTGATCTGTTTGCAACACGCACCTATCCCATGAAGTGACGAAACCAACACGAATGTGAAAAGCAATTTCATAATGTAAACACATAATGCTTTTATAATTTATCACACCTATCAAATCCAACAATCTACACCTACCTAGTTTTGTTATCTTTACCAATTGGCCAACTTGAAAACGCAAAAATGACCCCATGCTGATGAACGATGATTAAGTTGTTATATATTACAAGCTGAGTGAATTTTGTAAATTCTGGTTTAATAATATTACTTTGATAAATCTATTAGCAGCAACCTTAAATAGCGAAAAGTCAGTAAAACCGACAACAATATCGTTTTGTTTTTCATTCACACTGGGAAATACAAAAACACCTTTATTATAATAATTAATTAAATTTTCGTTTATCTCCATGTGATTATTCTCGCTACCTCACATTTCCGTGATACAGAGTGAAGTGATAGAACATGTTGACCACTTCACCTATTTGGGAAGTTGTATCAGCACCAACGGATTGACTGGTGACGAAATCTCAGCATGGATCCAAAAAGCTCGGGCTGCTTTTGCCAACTTACGCCATCTGTTGCGTAGGCGTGACATCCGACTATCAAGCAAGGGACGTATACACTGCTCAGTAATTCGCTCTGTTCTTCTCTGTGCCTCTGAAACATGGCCAATACGAGTTGAAGACATGAAAAGGTTAACCGTTTTTGACCATAGATGTCTACGATCTCTTTCTCACGTTAGTTGGTATAATAAGGTAAGTAATGTTGACGTTAGGCGTAGAGTGTTGGGCAAAGAGGGAAAATCAATCGACGAGGCTATAAAGTTACATACATTGAGATGGCTAGGTAACGTGCTGCGCATGCCTAACCATCGCCTCCCCCGACGGATGGGCATTACTAGCTAATATAGGTGTTGTGGGTTGGAAAAGAGTAAGTGGTGGTGGCCAAACGAAAACATGGCCTCATCAATCCATGAAATCCTTGACAGTTGAACTGAGTGAGGTAGGGAGATGCAGACTTCCGGGTTGGGGCCCTCGGGACTCTAAGAATCAATCAATGAAGGCTGGAGACAATAGGTGACATGGCTCAAAATCGTTGTCAATGGCTTACGCAGATGTATTCAGTCTCTGTAATCTTTCATATTCCTTTCTTCCATTACTCATTCTGTTTCACTCTTATACTTGTCAAAACTCTATTGATTCTCTTCACTCATCTTCTTGTCTACCTTTGTGTGCTATTTGGAACGTGGCAACTCGAACTGCTGCACTTCGGTGTCAAGTTCTACGTTGAATCCAGACAGACAGAGACTTGAAAATATTTTCTGCCTTAATGTGTGTTGTATAAAGTTATGGTGAATTGGAACGCTACACTTTATGAGAAAAATTCTATGTAGTAAATTCATTTCATCAGTCCATGGTACTTAAACTCAATGTGTAAGGATTGATTTATAGACAGTTTAGTACTACAGAGAAATATATTCGTGTGAAACTATTTTCATATTTTTTTAGCAAGCTGACTTCAGTATGCACTGAACCCTTGGTGACGAGATGATTGTCTTCTTATTTTTTTTCCGGACTGAAAAAAAACAATTTACTGTCTTTAACAGGCAGCTGTGCACAACAGCGCTTGTTGAAGGCAGTGTGCACACTGAGGTCCTGTACTTCCTCCATTTCATTTTTCTTTCTTCCTTTCTTTCTTTTTGCACGACTTACCGCACCAGATTAAAACTAATCTCATTAAGTGGGCTGGCTGTCTGACGACAATTTCTGTCCCAGTCGTTCCTGTATTAGATTGCTGTGACAAAATGGTTTCCTATCATCAGCGTCGGTGATATAGCGGTTGAATGCTCGCCAACCACGCATCATGTGGTTCGGGGTTCAATATCCCCGGCCACCGACTCACTATTTTACCTCAATAAGCCAGTAATAAGACTGGTAAGAAGAGGGAAGCTTGAACATGAGGCTAGCAACCTTCATCTCGTAAAAATATACACCACTGCTACCGAAACTTCAAGGCCTCTAGCTTGAAGCCCACCCTGTGTTCCACTTGGGGAACGTAAAGGAATAAAATAAATAAAATTAGTAAAAATAATAATCATTAGTGTTTAATGAGTGATGTTTATTCAAATAGTGTCAAACTGTGAACGCTACTAAATGTTAAGTGTTAATTTTTCGCTTTTAATGCTTATATAAAAGAGATGTATGAACTGTTTCAATCTCATGATTTTTTGTAATATATAAACGTCACTGTTATAGGAAGAAAAAATAAGTGGATATTAGGTATTTCACTATCATCTTTGCCCGTCATTCTATATCTTGTTAATTTCGAAAAATAATGAAGTTGAGACTTTTCAATCTATTCTCTAATTAATTGATTAATTTGCGCATTCCGCCCATGCGTAGAAGGTAAACTGCACACTAGAGGCGTTTATGAAAAACCAATGCATTCTGCTAATAGACAGTTAGACTTTAATTCGTCTCATCCGTTATCTGTCTGTTAGTGAAGGCAGGCTTAGTTAAGTGTCTGTCAAACAAACCGAGCAGTAGCACTAAAGTAGTACAACAAAAGACCTAAATGATGAAATGAAATAGATGGAAATGTTGGTGTTAAATAACTAACTATCCTAAAAAATTCATTAGGAAGATCAGAAAAGGTCAAAATCAAAATAAAAAGGCATCTACAATAGTTTTACCGTATGAGGAGGGAGGGGACATCTGAGAACCTCACCACGTAGGATTTTTAATAAAACAGGAATTAGAGTGCCATTTAAACCTACAAACTCACTCAGATAGAACAAGCTCTGTAGGTTAAAGGACCCTGTAGGTTGACCCAATTAGACAAAATAATATAATTTACAAAATAGCCTGTAATGACTGTGAGTTAAGTCAACTACATAGGTAAAACTAGTAGGTTGGGGGTAGTCAGACTGCCGGAACATAAGATTTTAGCTAAAGTAAGAATGGTTGACCCCGAGAAGATAAGTAATTTAGAAGACAGCTCAGCAATCGCACTGCATGCATTAACACACAACCACACAATAGTGTGGGTGGGACAGAGTTAAAATTCTGAAAGGTAATAAGGGTAGATGGAGAGAGGAGGATTACTGACTGAATCCTTGTTCATCGAGTCCACACCAAACACGTGCACTAGGAATGACTCAACACTCATACTGGAAATATGGAAAATACTACCACCAATCATCAAAAGAAGCGATGGAGAATAATGAAATTATATAAACGAAGTTAGAAAGTTGTGTGAATCATGCTTTGATTTGAGATTATGAGGAGTGATGAATTGAGCTCAAAATGTGGTCATCAGTAATAAATATTACTGTATAACAAACACTACGTGAGACTTTTTCAAAATAAAAATTTTAGGCATAATGGAATTATACTTTACCACTGCAGTGCACAAGATCTATTCTTATACCACCTATCCTTCTTTACTGTCCCCCCCATTTATTCTTCCCCGACTTTTTCGAAACAGTCTATGTTGTATTACGTGAGACTTTGCAGGTTGTAAACAGAGTTAGTAGTGTGCCTTTGACTGAGCTTATTCATAATTGGTGTGTGTTGATTGTCATTTTAATTCTTGAAAGCAAATGGCTAACATCGCCATCATCATCATCATCATCTTGCATATTGAAAAACATCCACTTTATATTCACAACTATCTCTTTCCATCTCTTCATATAAAACTAGAAGAAATTTCAACAGAACCATAATTAGCTCAGGTAAAGAATTAGTGAACCGAAAACCGACAAACTGGTCGAAGAAGCGGCAAAGACAGGACTCCAGGTGAACAAAGACAAGACGGAGGTGATGAAAATAATCAACAACAACAACAGCAGCAACATACAGCGCCAATCAGCATCAACAGGAGGGATTTGAAAGAGGTTACTTCATTCACTTATCTATGGAGCATTGTATCAACTACAGGAGGAACGGACGAGGATGTCAAATCGAGAATCGGGAAGGCGAGAAACACATTCATCAACCTGAAACCAATCTGGAAATCTCCCTCACTCAGCATCAACAACAAAATCCGGATTTTATATACAAACGCCAAGTCAGTCAGTTCTTCTTTACGGATCAGAAACTTGGCCAATGTGTCACAAAGAATATTTATTTCCAACAGCCTGTTGCAGACCTTTATCAACAACTGTCTTCGCTCTATACTGAAGATCAGATGGTCGGAAAGAATCACCAACAAGAAACTATGGGAAGAAACAAAACAAGAACCAATCGCCCAACAAATATGCAGGAGAAAGTGGAGATGGATTGGACACTCGCTGAGGAGGCCACTGGGTGACATCGCGCGTCAGGCCATAGCTCGAGTGGAACCCGAAAGAGAAGCGGCGAGTGGGACGTCCAAGGGTGACATGGAAGAGATCGTGTGAAGAGGAGCTGAAACAGTATGGACTAACATGGATGCAGGTGAAAAGTACAGCAGAAGACAGAAGCAATTGGAGACGTGCAGTTGAAGCCATATGTTCCACTAGGAACCCAAGGGAACAATAAATAACAAATAAAGCTACGTTATAGTTCACATGGATGTTTCCAGCCTTGATGTGTCTCTGAGTTGAATATTTTGAACTGCAATGCCTTCATTGTTTGTTCTAGAAACTTTCCGTTTTTGCTGAAGAATCACACACACATTACCACATTGGACTCAATGCTGAAGATGTAGGTGTCCAGAAGAAGAATTAAATCATCCAGTTTTTGAGAACGTATTCATTCCACTGCTCTGTCTTCAAATGTTGACAAGGCTTGCGCTTAATTCAATGATTTATTTTCTTTCCCAGTGTGTAAATAAAATATTTTTAAAAAGAAAAATTCCATGCGTATTCTTATGTTTTTGTTTCTTTTTTAAAATTAAATTTGTGTTTATAGATGAAATTGCATGTATTCCAGGACCTGACTGTTATCGTATTTGTGGCCAAAAAAGTGGATGCTCAAATTTAGCCTATCCAAAATTAGTTATCAGCGTAATGCCATCAGGTTTGTTCCTTTATTATAATTAATAATTCTATAATAGTAATTCTTTCTTTTTTGTTTCTGAGGTATCAAAGTTTTCCTACTTTAGAACTGTTTATCAAGAAGATGAATTAATCAGGTTGGCAGGATAATTGATTACGTCAGAATTAAATTGGCTAGATTCTAGTTCCCTCATGCGTTTGAATGACTTAAAGAACCGCCAATAAACACCATCAGCTTCACTATTCTATGTACATTCACATCTGTAACTCACTAGGGAGTGACAAAATAATATATTCAGCCATCTGACATCAGTTCATAATGCATCACTATAGCGAGAGACCTAGCTTGGTGCCTACCTTACAGAAATGAGTGATAGAATTCAGCCAACAGCAACTTGAAGGACTAGAAACATGACGTTCGCTACCCCAAAGTGACCAGTTAGCATGTCATTTATAGTCCTACAGGAGGTCAATCGTGAGTTTGGATATCTGAGTAGTGTATCATGTATGACCGTAGCATTGGGTGACCCAAGTTTGAGTCCAAGGGCGAAGGGGGGGGTGAGTTTCTCCAAAGCTGCAGATACGCCTTACTTAGAAGTGTCAACGAACACAAAATCCAGGTCTAAGGCTTCCCACCACCTAACACTGTGTAAATCTATGTATTCCTTTCTTTGTAAGTCGACTGTAAGTTCTCATTTTTTTTCTCAGAATATTAAATAACCGAACAAATAGTCAACGTCTCAGTGTGGAGTGGATGGAGCGAAGTGGTAGAGCACGTTGACCGCTTCACTTATTTGGGAAGCACCATCAGCCAGCGCCAACGAGTTGGTCAATGACGAAATCTCAGTACGGATACAGAGGGCTAGTTTCGCATATGCTAGTTAACGCCATCTCTAGCATAGACGCGATATCCGACTATCGACCAAAGGGTGGGTGTACTGCTCAACAGTCCGCTCCGTCCTCCTTTATGGCTGTGAGACCTGGCCATTGAGAGTGGAAGACATGAAAAGATTAGCTGTCTTTGATCATAGGTGTCTGCGTTCCATCTCCTGTGTGAAGTGGTATAATAAGGTGAGCAATATTGAGGTTAGGCGTCGGTCGAGTACTAGGTAAGGAGGGAGGGGAAATCAATCGACCAGGCTGTGAAGTTACACTGACTGAGATGGTTAGGACATGTGTTGTGCGTGCCTAGCCTACCCATCGCCTTCCTCGACGGGCAATGTTAGCTGACATAGGGTCAGACTAGGAAAGAGCCAGCTTTTGGTGGTCAGATCAAAACATGGCTTCATCAGTCAATGAAATCCATAACAGTTAGTTTAAGCCAGCCACGTAGGAAGTTGTAGACACCTTGCCGTGTTGGGATCCTCGTGACGGTAAATACCAATGAAGGCTGGAGACAATGAGTGATATGGCTCAAAATCGTTCTCAGTGATGGCTGTCGCAGATGCATCCACTCCTTGTGACTTATGATTTCAAATGAAAGTATATCGTTCTTCGTTATTACTATTCCTTTGTCTCACACCTCTGTTTACTGTCTCCAAAATGTATTTCTTTCACTTTCTTCTCTTGCTTTGTGTGCTACATTAAGGGAGTGTGGTGACTTGAACTGCTGCACATCGATGCAAAGTTCTATTTCGAAGACAGACAGACAGACAGACAGTGGAGTAGATAACAAGACTATTGAAGATTCAGGAACAACAGTAACACAGTGTATGTTATATATGTCGTGTACACTAGACAAAGCTATCATACATAGAAGTAGTTATTAAGGTGAAGATTTTGCTTTCTAATGATCAATGATGTTTCAACTATTGAAGAAGTTTATAGCTAATATGGGGTACCTGACCTGTCATATGCTCTGATGGTGTTCTCATGACTTTTTTTACCAGATCCTTCAAGGGCGATGGAATAGTACGCGACCTAATGGTTGTGTCCAATGTCTGAAGAAGGTTGTGTGCTATATGCATGTGCTTCGCCCTGATAGTCTATACGTTTATGGGACAGTGGTTAGGACGCTCACTGACCATGCATATAGTCCGAGGTTCGATCCGCGGCCACTGACGCACTCCTTTACCTCGCCAAGCCAGTATTAAGACTGGTAAAGAGGGAAGGTTGGGCATGAGGCTAACAATCCCATTCCGTAAAAATAAATACCGCTGCTACCGAAACTTCAAGCCTCTAGCTTGAAGCTCTCCTTATGTTCCAATGTGTTTATTATTGAGTGATCTAATCATTCCTGTTGCAACAATGTACACCGGTGGTCCAATGGTATAATGATCACCAGCTACAACACTGAGGAGCCAGGACCAATTCCCAGCTGACTCACTCCTACACTATACCTAGTTTGTTAGGTGTTGATAACATCAAAAAATGGGACAGGCAACGCATGAGGTTAGCAACTCCACTCAGTAAAAAAAAGATGCAACGCCAGCATTATTGAAACTTAAAACTTTGATGAAACGATATTTTCCATTCACAACTCAAGATATAAGTAAAGAGAGTAGCAACATTATATGCAGCGAAGAGCCTCCTTTCTTAGCTGTACAATCGCAAATATATATGTGTGTTATTTTGTATGTATGTGTACAATAAGTTTGTCAAACAAAAATACAATTGGTTATGGTTATTTTAACTAAACAGGTGAAGATTGGTAATTGGAGTTACGTAATACAAAATCAGTCAAGAAAATTAGGTGTTAATGAAATTAGGGTAGTAACAAAGGTGATGAGTTGTCACAAACAGTTGTTAAAAGAAGTTATGTAATAATATGAATAGTTTGATGAGTGAGTTTTACTCAGGATGCGCATTAGAACAAAGTAGATAACACGAAATTACGTAAGAGTTCTAAATGAATACAAGAATTATAAGCAATCAAAGAACAGGCAAAGAAACAAAATTAAGTCATCAAAATCAAAAAAATCAAATCAAAAAAGTTGTTACCAAGACAGTAGAAGTGGTTCAGTAATCCTCTTTTTTATGCAAAGCTCCGGTTTTTCTATGTGAATGGCCAGAGCTTCAGTGATACAAAGAAGGCGAAACCGAATTGCCTTTGATAGGTTATTCTTGACTCTGTAGATTACTTTGAAGCATGAAGCGTTTGTTGAAATGGAATGGTCAGTGTTAACCAGGTGTTCAATTATCGCACTCCTTATTGCATCACCACTTCTTTCAACAACTGTTTGTGACAACTCATCACTTTTGTTACTAGCCTAATTTCACTAACACCTAATTTTCTTGACTGATTTTGTATTACGTAACTCCAATTACCAATCTTCACCTATAACCAATTGTATTTTTGTTTGACAAACTTAATGTACACATAAATACATACAAAATAACACATATATATTTGCGATTGTACAGCTAAGAAAATGAATTCGCCGCCGAAAAGGGATTCTTCGCTGAACTACGTGTTGTGTTAACATAGAATTTAGTGTTGCAAAACAGAATTGATTCAGAATGACAAGTGGAACAAGTAATACCGGGAACAGTTCAAAGTGAGAATGATAATAGTAACAATTGACTTAATAAAGGACAAGTATACAAATTGAAAAGATGAAAAATTGGTAGAGCCAAAATATGATTAGGGATTACCATACTTTAGCATAGAGGGATGAAGACCATGAAAGTTGGAGGGGTTGAACGAACTTTTTCTGTACTCAGAAAGAGTAACTATTGGTATAGTAATTAGACAGCGATAGATTTGCAATGAAATATAAGACAGAACAACAGAGTTAATTTATACATATTATGATGCAGAATTCAGGAGTAGGTGCGGGTGGAAAGTAAAGTAAAATTATAAAAACGATAAAATAATTTAATTTAGCAAATTTTGAAACTTAATAATGAGTTCAACTCAGTAAGGGAAAGTCAAAATCAAAATTAAGTGGAATGTTATGTTTTGCAACAGAAGAAAACACAAAGGCACACGAACAAAAACAATAACAGTTGTCAGGCTAGTTACACTATCTTTCTGTATGCATAGGTTGAGTCTAAGTCTTTTTTATGGTAATGGCTTCTGCAAACCGAAGTAACCATTGCTTTGAAAGCCTAACTAATTTCCAATGTATGTCAGTCAATTAGGTGTCTGGAAGTTGTTCTTGAGAGCAGTTTGTTACTTTTCATAGCGGGGGGGGGGGGGGAGGGGTGACTTTCAGGGATATGCTCAGAGAATCTAGTGGACGCTCATCTCCTCTTAGTTCTTCCTATGTACTTGCTGCCTCAAGTGCAGGTAAACTGATTAATGCAGTTGGAGTTGACATGTAGAGCAGGATACTTATCTACTTTTAGCTGGGTTAACAAGCACACTTGTCTAACTACTATATAAATAGTTACTTCTGGTTTTAATACTAAATAACTGTCTACTTACATCATCTCTGAAATCCTGTTGCTTATACTTTGTATGTATAACTTGAAATCATTGTAAAAAAGTATGTTCAGACACCATTATGCAACATGTAATCGATTTATTTAGGATGTGCGCAGTTGATGAGAAACCACGAAATGAAACGAGCTCGTATTATCCTTCAAGTATGTTCAAAAAAAGAGTCTGTTATGATTAATATTCAGTTTGACTAATTTTGACAATCATATCGAGTCATTCTTATTATTCCTTTAATGTTCCCCCAGTGGAACATAGGGAGGGCTTCGAGCTAAGTGGCCTTGAAGTTTCGGTAGCAGTGGTGTGTATTTTTACGTGATGATGGTTGCTCGCCTCATGTCCAGTCTTATTATTGGCTTAGTGAGGTTAAGGAGTTTGTCGGTGACTGGAGATCGAACCCCGAACCAAATGAGGCTGGGTTCGAGTCGAGCATTTTACCGCTGCACCATCGACGCACATCATATCGAGTAGCAATACACAATATCGTTGTGTATATATAGGCAGGCATCATATCACTGATATAAATTCGGGATATTTGTAATTCAAGCTTTCTACAACACGAAAAAATCCTTTCATCAGTGAATACAAAACTTTGTATAATATTACTATTTCAGACAAAGTTGTGTTGTATGCCTCATTTATTTCTGTTACTTCTTTTTTCTCAACCACTTCGTTTCCTTTTTAATATCAAGCTAACACGTACACATTTCTGGAGGTGTACAAAACTTTATATCATTGACAAAAAAAATAAATAAAATAAAAATAATTAAAATACGTGTGTTACCAAAGCATTTTAAATGTAATCGACTGATAGACACAAAAAGATTGTTTTTTTTAAAGCTACATTTTTCCGCCTGATAGAGATTGTTATATTTTCAAGTATTGGTTTTGTAGAGATTTTGTTTGATTGATTTGATGGAGGATTTCATCATGAGCTGACATCAATTAGAGAACCATTGGAAAACCAACTGGGAGTACTGGACAGCCAGTTGTTTCGTCGGCCTAGTTTGGGACTCTTCAGAATTACGCACCCACACCGCGGGGTTTGAACCCAAGACCTTCTGGTTACAAGGCTAGCAAGCTCGTGGATTGTTATATGACTAGAGATTTTAATTAAATTTTGAACTGAGAAGTGATTCAGAGTACAGTTTCCTTTGGAAACAAAAGAATAGGTACTATAGTCAATTGACCTTGAATCAACCAATCCGATCAATTGTCATCATTATAAATGAATACCTTTCATAATCTTCATTGTAAGTGTCATCCTAATTAATGATATAGTTTAGGTTAGGATTAAGTTAGGGTTATGGTTGAGGTTAGAGTGAAACTTGCTGAGATGATTATTATGGTCAGCATCCATCTGAGACGATAAGCAATTTGACTATCATCAATTGGTTTTTGTTCATCATAGAATCAATTATTCACTTGTAGATCCTATAACTGGTACTCATATAGATTTTGATTTGTTTTTACTATAGCCATTCCCATGGAAAACTGAGACTTCTTTTTCAAGTGGGAAGCCCCTGACCAATAGAGTACAGCAGGTTGAAGATGAGGCAGTAACTCATCGAAGAAGACATTGAGAAATGGTCGCTCTATCTCGTGAATTGGCAGGAGTTAGAATTCATGTGCTGGTCATTGGATCGGGTCTCAGTAGCTGATGAATGGTTAACGAGCTCGCTAGCCTTGTAACCAGAAGGTCCTGGTTGCGGACAGTCATGGTGGGTGCGTACTTCTGAAGAGTCGCAAACTAGGCTGACGAAACAGCTGGCTATCTAGTACTCCAGGTTGTTTCCCAGTGGTTCTCTAACTGATGTCAGCTCATGATGAACTCCTCCATCCAACCTCCTTTTTCAGCGTAGTAGAGACATATGCCCTATCTAATTCTTTTCTTTTCACACATGCATCTGCTTAAGATGTTTTTTTACACTACGAATGTCACATTTTACCAAGCAGCATATGATTGGCTGGTTCAAGGTCGTTTGGCTGTGATTATGGCTGTGGCACCTATGCTTAACAACTCCCCTACATTAAGAACACCGTAATATGTGATCTTGATATTATGAATAGCAATCAAGAAAGCAGGTGAAGTTGAATAATGACATATACTACTGCTGATTGATATGAGTAGTTGAGAATAGCTCACAATCTGAACGGTCCGTCAGTAATTATATCCTCTTCGATCTGGCCAGCATATACTACTGCTACTCTTATGCGCTGTCACAGTGGTATTCAAGTATTGATTTTGTAGGGATTTGATTGGTTGGTTACAGGATTTCATCATGAGCTGAGTCAACCTTTCTCATACTCAAGATCACATGAGTCAGCAAAGGAGTCCCTGGCCAAGTTGAACTTTAAGCATCACTAACTACCAATAGAGTGCCACCGCACAAGTGACCTTGAAATTCTCAGTGAGTAAGTTAGTGAGACCTGTCAGATAATGTTGTCATCATCAATAAAATATGATAGTTGAAGTGTTATTTTATTAAATGGGATATCTGGAGAATTTCAACATAGATTTGGGAAAGATTAAGTTACGGTTTAGGCTAAGGACAGGTTAGGGTTAGGTTGACCTAATAAAGGCGACATTTGGGTTGGTCGAAGTTAGATTACAGGTAGTTTAAGGATATTTTCAATTTAGTGTTAGATTTAAGAAAGATTAAGGTTATTGTTAGGGTTAGAAAACCTAGATAATTACATGCACAAAATGTTAAATTACTCTTTTCATATTCCAACATAAAACTGAGAGCTATTTTTATAATATGTGAGATAAAGGTATCCTCTATAACACTTTTATACACAAAAATCCCGCCTTCATGTGATTGGCGTGTTCAAGGCCATCCGCTGATTGGTAGGTAGGTAGTGGTACTTAAAGTTTAACTTTGCCAAGTCTCTTTTCATAAATTCATTTTAAAGCTGTACAGTCATTTAGGGGAGAGGAGGGGGTCAAATATTATTACCAGTTAGTAATAAAGTGATTCAAAGTGTATCAGTAATAAATGCGTTTTAAAAATTGAGAATGATCTTACGTAATCAAGAGACAGAAAGAGAGAGAGAATTGACAACTAATTAGTTGAGGGATGAATAATCTTTGGGAGATAAATAGCTGAGAAGAAACATGAGAATCAAGGATAGGAAATGAGTTGCAAAAAACATAAAACAGACCACATCAAGTTCATTCTACAGTTATTCAGGAAAACAGAGAAGGCAGAAACAAAAAAACAACAAAGAAATAAGTACTAAGGCTATGATAGCAAAAAGAGGCTGGATGGACAAAATATTTCTGAACACAAAGTCCAGGCCACTCCTTATAGTGGATTGCTATGACTTCAGATGCATGCAGAAGATGTAGACGAAATCCTTTCCAAACAACTTGGTCTTACTCTATATATATGACTCTGAAAGACATCTCTCCTGATACTGCATAACCAGAAATGGGTAAAATATACTCCAGGAGTGAGCTGTTCCACGTTCTCCCTTTTGAAAATCATACTGGTAAATGTTGATGAGAGTGTCTAGATACTGTATTCTTAGCTCCATAGGAGCAAGTGAATTGTAGGTTTAAATCATCCAGGCGTATCCCTTTTATCGTAATATGTACATATACATGTATTTGTTTAGCTCCTAGTCTTTCTGAAGTGCATTTCTTGAAAAATACACGGGAAAAGAAATCTCACTGCAGACTGGATGAAGCTAAGTCAAGAGTGATATACCATCGATTACCGTTTTTTTCTTGAACATCCTATGCAAAGAGTTAATATAGTGAAAGTTCTGTGCTATGAGAGGGCATATTGTCTTGAATAAAGTTATTAATATTATTATAACAACCTCTGCTACTAGATTCGTGATTTTCTCTTTATTTTAGGTCTTAGAGGTCTTATGCTAGCTGTAATGTTAGCTGCTCTTATTTCTGATCTGACATCGATTTTTAATTCAGCTAGTACACTGTTCACTGTTGATATTTATCAGAAAATCAGAAAGAAAGCGAAAAATATGGAATTGATGATTGTTAGCCGGTGAGTTGAATTTTAACTTCTTTGTCTCTCTTCTTCATGTTAACTTCAGAATTTCATCATGAACTGACATTGGTTTGATGAGGACCATTGGAAAACCAGCTGGGAGTACTGGAAAGCTGTTCTGCCCCCCCCGCCTAGTTTGAGACTTTTCAGTAGTACGCACCCGATGGGGATTGAACCGTATCCAGTGTCAAGTCCGTGAATTCCTATTTTTACCACCGCTGGCGAGTATTTGTCCTCACACCCGACCTGATGTACCCCCTAATGGTCACGACTTCCCACTAGAATCCAGGTACCTACTTACCTGAATAGGGCAAGTCACTAGTGAGCATCAGATTTTGACGAATATTAGCAGCAAGAAGTTTGAACTTGTTAGTCAGTTGTACGCATATACACTTGGCGTTAGGCCACACCTATTTTGTGAGGAATGACTAAAAACAGATGGACGAGATGTGTTGTTTCAAATTTGTTTGCTAACGACTTCATTTATTTGGGAAGTTGCATTAGCTAGCTCTAAAGGACTAATTGTTGATGAAATCTTAGCAAGAATACAAAAAGCTCATTGATATAAGAATAAAACTTAGGCACTGTGGTAGAATGTAATTCCATTATGGGTAAATTTTATTTTGATAGAGTCTCACAGTGTTATACAGTAATATTTACTGATGACGTTTCGAGCACAATTTATTGCTCATAATCATATCAAAGTAATCACACGACTTCCTAAATTCATTTATATAGTTCCATTGTTTTTCACTTGATTTTCACTTGATTTGATTGGTAGTAATATTTTCCATATTTCAGGTATGAGTGATGATTCATTCCTATTGCATGTGTTGGGTGTAGATTCGATGAACAAAGATTCAGTCAGTAATCAACCGCTTTCTCCATCTACCCACCCAGTGACGGCTTCACTGGGTGAGTCAAAATGGTTTAATTTATTGCCTAAAACTAATAGTGCTAGTAGGATATATGGTACTATTAAAATACATAAGCCAGGTTATCCCATAAGACCAATAGTAGATTTTAGAAATACCCCTACATATGAATTATCAAAACATTTAGCTCTAATATTATGCCCCATTAGAAATCGTTCAAATTCTAGACTAACTAATTCATATGAAATGAAAAATAAACTAAATGACATACAACTAGATAATGATGAAACAATGGTTAGTTTTGATATAACCAGTCTTTATACTAATATACCAGTCAATATGGACTTAGAAGCAGTTAAAAAAGAACTAACTGCGGATCCTGAACTCAATCATAGGACAAAGCTGTCCATTGAAGAAAATTATTTTAGGGATTCAGTTATGCCTCACATCTACTCTATTTAAATTCCAAGGCAAAATATATAGACAAACTGAAGGTGTAGCAATGGGATCACCAATATCCCCTATCGTGGCAGATATATTTATGGATAGCTGGGAAAATATGGCACTTAATACGTTTAATCCTACTCCAAAAATATGGTGGAGATATGTGGATGACACTTTCACAGTGTTAAAAACAGAACATATCTCTAGCTTCTTGTCACACATAAACTCACTAGTGGAGGGAATAAAATTCACATTTGAATTGGAAAATGAGCAAGGAGAATTAGCTATGTTAGATTGTAAAATAAAACGAATAGAAGAAGGCAAACTACACACTAGTGTTTATAGAAAACCAACGCATTCTAATAGATATTTAGACTGTAATTCATCTCATCCTTTAACTGTTAAAGCAGGCTTAGTTAAGTGTTTAACAAACCGAGCAATGGCACTAAGTAGCACAAAAAAAGACCTTAATGATGAAATAAAACAGATAGAAGAGGCGTTGGTTTTAAATAACTATCCTCTAAAATTCATTAGGAAGATTGAAAAACGCCAAAAGAAAAATAAAAATAAAAAGAATTGTCAAACTAGTAATAATAACATAAATAACAGAGAATATAAGTCATCTACAGTTATACCATATAAAGAGGGGACATCTGAGACCCTACGTAGGATTCTAAATAAAGCAGGAATTAGGGTGGCATTTAAACCTACAAACTCACTCAGGGACAAGCTCTGTAGGTTAAAGGACCCAGTGGACCCAATTAGACAAAATAATATAATTTACAAAATACCCTGCAATGACTGTGAGGTCAACTACATAGGTCAAACTAGTAGGTCAGGGGTAGTCAGATTGTCAGAATATAAGAATTTAGCTAAGGTAAGAATGGTTGACCCAGAGAAGATAAGTAATTTAGAAAAAAGCTCGGCAATTGCAATGCATGCATTAACACACAACCACACAATAGGGTGGGAGAGGGTTAAAATTCTAAAAAGTAATCTAGGTAGATAGAGAGAGAGAGGTTGATTACTGAATCTTTGTTCATCGAATCTACACCCAACACATGCAATAGGAATGAATCATCACTCATACCTGAAATATGGAAAATATTACTACCAATCAAATCAAGTGAAAATCAAGTGAAAAACAATGGAACTATATAAATGAATTTAGGAAGTCGTGTGATTACTTTGATATGATTATGAGCAATAAATTGTGCTCGAAACGTCATCAGTAAATATTACTGTATAACACTGTGAGACTCTATCAAAATAAAATTTACCCATAATACAAAAAGCTCGTGTGGCATTTGCCGAATTACGCCATCTCTGACGTACATATGATATCCGACTGGCTATCGACCAAAGAATGTGTCTACTGCACAGCATTTTTCTCTGTCCTCCTTTATGGCTGTGAAACATGACCTTTGGAAGTGGAGGACATGGAAAGCCTAGCTATCTTTGATCATAGGTATGTCTGCATTCCATCTCCCGTGTTAGCTGGTATAATAGGGTGAGGAATATTGAGGTTAGGCGTCGAGTGTTGAAGGGGAATCAATCAGTGAGGTTGTGAAGCTTTATCCACTGAGATCGTCAGCCTAGGTTAATTAAGCTAGTTTTAAAATACTACAGTAAGTCATGCCAAAAGAAATAAAAAAGCAAATAAAGAAAGTACAGGACCTCAGCGCACGCTGACTTCCATAAGCACTTTTGTGTACAGTGCTCTTCCCATTGAAGCCAGTAAATTGTTTCCTGCCCACAGTATATAAGATCATTACTATCTCGTGCTCCAGAGCTCAGTGCATGCTGAAGCCAGCTTGCTAACTAAGCAAAACCAAAATCATTTAACACAAATGTATTTCTCTGCAACATTTCTCTGCAATTTATTTCAATTCGTCTTTTCACACTTAGTGGAATTACACTAAAACTGACTTGAATTTTCAATGTAGGATTTTGTAATAGTGGCCAGTAGTTCGAGTGACAAAGAACTACTTAATATAGGGCATATTAAAAATCGGAGAAAATTTTTAAGAGCATTTACGAAACAGAAATGTGATGAGGTGAAGGAAGAATAATTACAGTGGAAAATAACGAATACTTTTATCGATTTGTGAGAATAAGGAGAGTAAATAACACCTGCGCCATTGTGAATAACTGTGAGCCACGTCACCAACTGTTTCCATCCATTGACGACTGTCTAATTAATCAGTTCAATAGGACTGATGCGACATCAACCCCATAGACGATTTGTATGCTATACATATTAAGGAATTCTGCTCACTAGTGTCCAGAAAATTCTCTATTTTGATGTTTTCTTCATCTACAATGATCTGCATACTCTAAACCACCGACAAGACTCTGCCTTCGTAATCAGTCAAACGTTAAGTCACTAAAGTTGACCAAGGTTACATTAAAATTAGAACATCTATCATTGAAATCAAATCCTTGATGGGCACAATTGAGTTAGTGTCATTATCTGACTATGAAAACACGACGATATGAATTAGCGTAGGGTGCCTTGATTAATGAGATGCACTATTAGCACACTCCACCTATGACCAGACATTGCTACAGTACACCTCAAACGATGAAGTCAAAGCTACTTCGTTACTAACTTAGCTGATGATAGAGACACAGAGAAGATAAGTGTATTGGAGGAATTATCTGCTGGAGGCCCAACAGCTTTTAGTAATTCTCCAAGTAATTGACTACTGTGTTAACAATTATTACCACTACTCATTCTTTGAGCTCCAACTGGAACATACGGTTTCAGTAACACTCTTTGAATTCCGGAGTACGATTGGTTAGTAAACTAGTGGAGATTGTTACCAGTTCAAAATGCGTATAAATTATTTTACAGAACACACTTACAGAGAAGTGATAAGTAAGTGAATGAGTATTATTCGAGTTGAAAATGATTAGCAGTGAGATCCAGTGTGCACTTTTCCTCTTAATCGGGACAATATCACCTAGATATACCTGAATTTGAAGTGGGCGATGGTGATATTTCCAGTGATACACAAATCATGAATTTGGCAAAATCCTTATCTTGGATTTCACTGCTTCTCTTCATCAGTTGAAATGCAAATCATGTTAATCTTCAGACATCATTGAATTATTTGCACATGGAGCTCCCATTTCTTGAGAGATGGAGCTATTCGACACAACATAATCAATCCGTGTTAAATGTGAATTAACCGAACCAGTAAGTGAATGAATAGCTTCACAGATATTGAACAGATAGTAAAAGGAAATAATTCAATTTGATTGTTCTATTTTCAACTATTTATAGAAAACAATAGGTACTAATCGCGTAGTAAGATCTGGATTTCACGCGTCGATAATTTATGTTTAATTTCACACAAACTGGAAGACTTGAAGGTAGACGAAAACCAACAAAACGGCAGAAGAAAGCAATGGTGAAAACAGGATTCTAGGTGAACACAGAGAGGACGGAGGTGATGAAGATAACCAACCACCACCGAAGTCAACAACAAACAGCACCAATCGCCATCAACGGGAGATATTCGAAAGAGGTTACCACCTTCACTTATCTAGGAAGCATCGTTTCAATCACAGGCTGGCGGACAGAACGGATGAAGAGGTCAAAGACAGCCAGCCAACCAGAATCGGGAAGGCCAGAAATGTTCTGCACTCCACCGCCGCATAAACAACAAGATT